TCCCTAGTAGAGGTCTCCAGTGTGAGCAGGGGGTTGGACTAGATAACCTCCAAGGTCCCTTCCAACTCAGTTACTGTTAAAATCCTGTTTCCCCCAGAATTTTGATTTGGTTAGGGGCCCTGTGAATTTTTATTTTAAAGCCAGAGTCTTAAGTTCCCGAGATTCCCTTAAAGTTGTTTCAAACTGCGAGATGGTCGGCAAATAAATTAGATAATAGTATTTTTTAAAAAAAAAAAACCAGGTGTTTGCATTTGTTTGCATTTGTTTTAAAGGGAAATGAGAACCAGGAAGATAAATCACTTCCCCTCTGGAGTGACCAACCCACTTAGGCATGTCCTGTGAATATGATTGGCACAAGGGCCAAATTATGCGACTGGACTGGTCAGAAGGAAGCCAGGATGTTGCCCTTCTCGCTGCCAGGCTTGGCAGGGAGATTTCTGGCTGATTCCGGCTTTTCCCCCCCTGCCGTTTGTTCCCCAAGGCCAGGAACCAAGGCTGAAACCTTGCAAACTAAAGGACAGCGCAAGCGATTAGAACAGGGGTCAGCAACCTTAAACACTCAGAGCCATAAAGGTCCTAACCGGAAGCCCCCATTCAATTCTGGAGCCGACAGGAAGTCGGTTCCACCACCATAGAGTCTCTTCCTAGCACGGCATCCTTTTTCCTCTACCTGTCCGAACCGAAAGCCCTATCAATTGTGGAGCCGACCAGCAACTGGGAGCCGCATCAGAGGGATGAAAGAGCCACATGCGGCTCCAGAGCCGCAGGTTGCTGACCTCTGGATTAGAACATAAGAGTCATAGGGCTCGAAGGGACCTTTGGAGATCTTCTAGTCCAGGGGTCTCCAACCTTGGCAACTTTAAGACTTGTGGACTTCAACTCCCAGAGTCCCTCAGCCAGCAAAGCTCTCTGGGAGTTGAAGTCCACAAGTCTTAAAGGTTGGAGACCCCTGTTCTAGTCCAACCCTCTGCTCAAGCAGGAGATCCTTTTCCATCTTAGGTAAATCGTGGCTCTTGATGGCCTCCTTGCAAGGACATGAAGACCTGGGAAGGTGGAGAGCACCACTTCTAAACCATGGTTTGTTTAATTAACACCATGATTTCAACAAACCCACCATGCTGATTCAAAACCAAAGGAAGTGTAGGGCAGCATCCAAATTTTGAATGATTATGCCCGGTCTCTTGCTCAGGCTGCCAAGTATAAGGCTAAAACATTATATTGTATCGGTGTTTCTCAAACCTTGATCAAATAGAAATAGAAATAGAATAGAATGAGCTGGAAGGGACCTTGGAGGTCTTCTAGTCCAGCCTCCTGCCTCAAGCAGGAGAGCCTATACCAGTTTAGATAAGTGACTGCCTAGAAGACGCTTCTTTAAAACCTCCAGAGATGAAGCTCCCACGATTTCTGGTGGCAAGCTGTTCCACTAGTTAATTGTCTTCACTCTTAGGAAGTTTCTCCTCAATTCCAGGTTGCTTCTCTCCTTGATTTGTTTCCGTCCATTGTTTCTTGTCCTGCCTTCTGGTGCTTTGGAGAATAATTTGACCCCCCTCCTCTTTGTTGGCAGCCCCTCAAATACTTCTCCATGCGGAGGGAAGAATTTGGAGAAATTCTTTAAATCCTGACACATCTGGATGTGAGAACCCAGAAAGCGGATTATGGCACCAGTGGTTTTTATTTATTTTTTTCTTCCTGTTTGTGACACCGAAGAGCTCTATTATTTGAACTCTTTTCTCCAGACAGTTGGGATTTTTAACTTTTGCTGGTGTTAAAGAAGCTGAACACGCCAGCCAATTTTCCCTGTTTCCTGCCTTCTCCAAAGGGAATTTAGGTTTTTTTGATTTTCAGTTCTTGTTCACCATCTGAGCAAACAATTTTGGGGGTGCAGTGAAAGGGGGGGGCTCTGTTTGGTGGGTTTGTGCATTAGGAGACTAAGAAAAGGATTCTCTTATTCTTGAGAAAAATGGTCTGTTGAAACTCAGATTTAGAGGTTTTATCATCAGTGTCTTGTATATGCTGGCCAGTTGAAGGGCCTATCAATCAGAATAGAGTTGGAAGGGACCTTGGAGGTCTTCCTATACAACTTGAGACAAGTAGCTGTCCAGTTTCTTCTTAAAAACCTCCAGTGATGAAGCACCTACAACTTCTAGTGGCAAGCTGTTCCACTGGTTAATTGTCCTCACTGTTAGGAAGTTTCTCCTCAATTCCAGGTTGCTTCTCTCCTTGATTCATTTCCATCCATTGTTTCTTGTCTTGCCTTCTGATGCTTTGGAAAATAAATTGACCCCCTCTTCTTTGTGGCAGCCCCTCAAATACTGGAGTACTGCCTATTTCACACACACTCAATAATATGGGGTAGGGGCAGGAAGCAAAGGAATCCCAGAAGGATGAAATTACATGGCTCTGATCTGTGTGACACATAATCGGTCAGTTCCGAATGGCTAGATGCCTATTGCAAAAATCACAATCTACACAGCTAGTCCTCAACTTATGACAATTGGCAGCAGAATTTCCATTGCTGAAGTCAATGGAACAAGTCATTGTTAAGTGAGTTGCGCCCCAATTTTGCCACCTTTTTTGCCAAAGTTGTTAAGCAAATGATGCAATTGTCAAGTAAATCACATGGTCATTAAGCGAATCTGGCTTCCCCCATTGACTTTGCGTGTCGGAAGCCTGCTGGAAAGGTCACAAATGATCACATGACCTCAGGATGCTACAACCATGTAAATCTATGCCCCTTGCCAAGTGCCTGGTTTTTGATCATGTGACCATGGCGATGTTTGGGGGCGGGGGTCATAAGTGCGAGGACCAGTTATAAATTCCTATTTTCAGTGCCATAGGTAGCTTCAGTTGCTAAGCGAATGGTTGTAAGTTGAGGACCACCTGTAAATTGTATCTCTGTGCTATACAAAGTAATCTACTCTACAAATTATGCCTCTCGGATGCGAAGCATTTCTAGTTATCCAAAGAAAAGCGAGATTACAATGGAACAAGGAATACAGGATTTGCGTGTTTCTCATCCTTCTTTAAAAAAAAATGCATTTAGTGAGACTTGGATCAGTTGAAATCTTTTGGGATCTTGTATTAATTCTGTTGTGACTAACAACATGCTAACTATTTGGATTGATTGATTGATTGATTGATTCAATTTATATGCCGCCCTTCTCCGGAGACTCAGGGCGGCTTACAATGCGTTAAGCAATAGTCTTCATACTTTTGTATATACTTGCTTAGTAGGGCTTTCGCCCCCCCCCCAGCGGTGTTCTTTTTTATACAAAGTCAGCTTATTGCCCCCACAAACCGGGTCCTCATTTTACCTACCTCGGAAGGATGGAAGGCTGAGTCAACCTTGAGCCTGGTGAGATTTGAACTTGCAGTAATTGCAGGCAGCTGGTGTTACTTAACAGCACTTTAGTCTGCTGCACCACCAATTCAGGTTTCTAGCCCCTCTTGTTCCTACCAATCCCCAGTGAGACAATTGCATAATTCAGGTGATCTGGTTGATTCTGTTCCTGCCCGTTTTAAGCCTGTTTTACGCAGACAGATAGAGGGGAGTAGGAAGCATAAATAGGACCGGTCACGTTTACTTTTGAGTAAGCCCCAGGGAGCAGTTGAAGTGACTTCCAGTAATAGTAACAGAGTTGGAAGGGGCCTTGGAGGTCATCTAGTCCAGCCCTCTGCTCACGCAGGAGACCTCTACTAGGGATTCGAACCGCCGAACTGGCGACCTTTCCGGGGAAGAACATGCCAAGTAGCCAGCTGGAAGGAGGCTTTTTAGTTACTGACTAGGTCAGGGTGGGCAAATGTGGCTTTTACAACCTGTGGACTTCAACTCCCAGAATTCCTGAGACAGCCAACTTGGCTGTCTCAGGAATTCTGGAAGTTGAAGTCCACAGGTTGTAAAAGAGTCACATTTGCCCACCCTTGGACTAGGTGGCTCAGTGGCTAAGACACTGAGCTTTGGTTGATCAGAGAGTTGGTAGTTCGAATCCCTAGTAGTACAGGTCTCCTGTGTGAGCAAGGGGGGGTTGGACTAGATGACCTCCCAGGACCCTCCCCACTCTGTTACTGTTAGCCCAGCATTTGTTTCAGCCGAAAGAAGATGCAATCCTAACAGCCAAAGAAATCCTTAAATTAAATCCCTCCTTAAAATAACACGCAAAAAGCTATGTTTTTTTTTAAAAAAAAAACACCACCGAATATTTTTGGGGGGGAAAGCAAAAAAAAAGAAAAGAAAATGAAAGAAAAAGGCGAATTATGACGTTGGAATCAACCCTCCTGCCTCTTTTTAATTGCATTCCTCCCACCCATCCACCCCCAACCTCCGTTTTAGGAATTGCGATCCCTCCGGTTTGTCTGAAGCGTGTGCATCTCTCTCCGTCTGGATTTAAAGAGGAAAAGAAAAAAAAAAACTCCCGCACGCTTTATCGTTCTTTTTTTCTTTTTCTTTTTTCTTTATAAAGCTCTTTGTTGTAGAAATAATGCATCATGAATGGCCCTTTAAAAAAAAAAAAAAGAAAGAAAGAAAGAAAGAAAGGAGCGGGAGGGGGGCGGAGGGCGAGGAAATACGGGGGCTGGCTTCGCAGAAGCGGGTGGGCGGAGGAAAAACTCCATTCTGGCAGCCGAAGCCCCGCCCACTCTTGCTTGATCGCTGGCGGGGCCAAGCGGGGAGGGAGAGGCGGCGAGGCGAAGCATCCGGTCTCCTTCCACGTGGGGGCCGTGCCGCGAAGCGACGCCCATTGGTCGGCCGGGTTGGCGTCTGAGCGGGGAGGAGAGCTCCGATTGGCTGCGGCGGGGGGCTGGCAGAGCCGAGAGAGAGAGAGAAAAAAAGAAGGAGTAAAGAATGAATGGGGAGGGGGAGAGTCGCTCCGCCCATTTAGAACGTTGATACATTCTAACATTTTTTTTTTTTCCTCTCTCTCTCTCTCTCTCTCCTCCTCCGCCTCTTTCGTCTCCCCTCCCTTCGCCTGTGTCTTCCCGGCACTGGGTTACTTTCACACCAGACTCCGGGAGCAGCAGCAGCGGCGCGGCGGCGGGAGCCGGCTGCTTCGCTGCTCGGTGGGTGCGCGCTTCTGGCCACGGGTTCAAAGCCCAGGTGGGGAACAAGCCAAGCTTAGCCCGGCGGGGGTCTTGCTTTTGTTGGTTTCCTCCTTTGGGTTTTTTTTTTTTATTCCCAGATTATTATTATTATTATTATTATTATTATTATTATTATTATTATTATTATTATTATTATTATTATTATCATCTTCCCGGCTGCATTTCCATAAGAAGGTAGATAGTATTATTATTTGGAGGGGATGGGGTGGAGTGGGGTGGGGAATCTGGGAGAGAACCCCGTTATCCTTCTTCTTTTTTGGGGGGGTCCCCTTTAAGGATCCAGGGGAGGAGGGAAAATAAGTGAGCTTTGTGGGGAGGGGGGGGAAAAGGGGGTCGTGAAAGGACAAAAGGTGCCCCCTTCCCCCTCCTCAGCGATCTCTGCGAGCGGAACTTTTAATTCTTTTTAAAAAAAAAACAAAAAAGATCCGAAGATCTTAAGTCTGTACTTGAATTTGCGGCCGGCCGAGGGAGGCGGAGGAAGGAAAGAAGGATGGATGGGTGGGTAGGTGGGTGGGAAAGAGACAGAGAGAGAGAGGAGACGGAGTCGGTCGCTCCAGGGTCGTGTAAACGCGGCGGGGGGAAAAGAAGGGCCTCCTTTGTCTGCGGGGCAGCCTTGTCTACCAGCTTCGTGGCCTCATCTCTGCCTCCTCCTCCTCCTCCCCCCCCCCTTTCCCCCCCTCCCCCCCCCCCCCAGGTGAATCGAATGGACCACCAACCCACCCCCAGGAGCTGCAGCCGGGGACCCCCAGCCTGCGACACTGTCCAGAGTGACCCTCCTATGAATGTTTTCATTCACACGACCACCGGGGCCCGGTATGAGCTCTCTGTCCCCGTGGAAGAGACGGTGGAAGGTCTGAAGAGGAGGCTGTCTCAGAGGCTTAAAGTCCCCAAGGAGCGACTGGCTCTCTTACATAAAGAAAGGTATTCACTCTTGTCTGCTTGTGGGTGTCTCTCTCTCTCTCTCTTTCTTTCTTTCTCTCTCTCTCCCTCCCTCTTTCTCTTCCTCTGTTCTTCTCTCCCTCTCTCTCTACCGTACTTCTCTCCCTCTCTCTCTCTCTCTCTTTCTTTCTTTCTCTCTCTTTCCCTCCCTCTTTCTCTTCCTCTGTTCTTCTCTCCCTCTCTCTCTCTCTCTCTTTCTTTCTTTCTCTCTCTTTCCCTCCCTCTTTCTCTATCTCTGTTCTTCTCTCCCTCTCTCTCTCTACCGTACTTCTCTCTCTCTCTCTCTCTCTCTCATCTTTCATCCATTTCTCACTATCCCCCCCCTTTGGAAATAAAGACTTTGAGGGGGGGTTGTTAGAAGATAGTGGGAAGTTAAAATTTCAACCCATTTGTTTCTTTCCCCCCCCCCTTCTTTTCTTCTTTTTAAATTGGGAGAGACCTTAAATTTAAAAGCTGTTTTAGCTGCTTTGCACCTCAGGGAAATCTCCTTGAGGTTCACGTGTGAAGGCAAATATTCAAGAAAGGCTTGGGTTTTTCTGGGTTTTTAAACGGCCTTCAAAAAAAAAACTTCCTTCGAAGTGTATGGAGAAAAGTAGAAAAGCGTACAATCTCTAGGCTACTCGGCAAGCCGCCTTGAACTTTCTTGGGTATTGCGTGTGAACACCAGGAAAAAACCTTTGTGCATGCCTGTCATTGTATATCGGCCTTTTTTTTTTTCTTCTTTTTTTAAATAAAAAATGTTAGAAATGTGCTGATTGTGGAATACTGTTTAGATAAGAATCCATGTATCTCTACAGAAGGGAGACTGTAGATATATAGGGGGGGTGGGAAGAGAGAGGGAGGGAGGGGTTGCCGTGTGGTTCATTTTTGACATCCAGGCATATATCGTAAAATAGCCAGAGGGAGTTTATATGGAGTGCTTAGGCAAGAAGAGAAAAATATAGCTTTGAACCTCTTTGTGAGGTTCTGCAAAATACCTTATTCCTCCGGTTATTCCCTTGTTTAAAAAAAAAAAAACTCAGAAGGCTTTTGCAAAGAGGAGTAAATAAAGACTGGGTAGTCTTAATTGGCAGAGTTGGCACTCCCCTTCCCATTCAACCTCCTCCTTCCCCCCCCCACTCTTTCTCCCTGCTGGGGAAGAAATATTAATATCTATTGATCTGATCTCAGAGTCAGAATTTGTCCTGGCAGCTTTGCTGAAGATGAAGGAAGAGAGGAAGACTAGGAAAATAAAAGACAATCCTCTTTAAGCAAGCCTTTCCCTCTCCCCCCCCCCCAAAAAAGAGATTTATTGGGGAATCAGGCTTCCGATACCCTTTCTGTCCTCAAGTCTCCCTTCCCTTGGAGGTGTCCTTTGTTCTGAAGGTTGAATTTGGGTAGCCTGCAAGTGCATAGAGAGAAATGTACACCTACACACACATTCACGCTTGCATGCACACGGGCGCAGGCCACCTCTTATGCAGACCTTCTAACTGCTTTTTTTGTTTTTAATTTGGGGGGATCTCTAGAGAAATCTTGGAGGCACAGAGAAGGCTAGCTGGGGCTGACTCGAATGTCCTTTGTGAGGGGGAAGAGCGGAGGGGTTTGGACAGGGCTATCTGGAGTGTCTGAGCAACTCTCTTTGTTTAACTAAAATCCCCCCTTAGCTTTGTTAGCGAATTGCAGAACCGATCAGTCCTTAAGATGCAAAACAGCCCTGTCTTTGTACAATCCACTCTCTTTTGCTGCACCAGGGCCCCAAAATCTTCCAAGTCCACCCCTCCTTTACTCCTTTCCCAGCCCTCTGAGGTTACTGCACTGGAAGAAGATCTAAAATCTTATCAAATCTAGCTTTTTTTAAAAAAAACAACAACCAACAACCCCGAAGTCATTTTAATCTCCCAGCCCTTCTGGCGATGAAGAAGTTCAAAGTTATCGGGTACAAGGTTTTAGGGAAATATTCTGATTTTGGAATAATGGTAAATGATGAGCCGGGTTCCGGTTTTTAATCAATCGGATCTATTCCCAAAGCTGCCTTCCCAACCATCCTTTTTTTTGAGAATCAGGCTGGAAAAATTAAAATAAAATCCACCCACCTTCAAGTCTCTTTCTTCTAGACCCCCCCCCCCAAAATATTCAATAGCTCCTGATGGGATTCTTTATCTGCTTCCCCACCTCCCCCTCTTTTAACCTTCCTTAGCTTCCCAGATCTATCAATTCAATTGTCTGGAACGGTAAGTCAGTTTAGAAAAAGCAAAGGATCTTTTTTCCGTTGGAGAGTTGCCTGCAGAATCACAGCCCTTCTTTCTCCTGGGGGCAGCAGAGGGAAGAGACAGACTTATAATATTATGTTTACATAAGGAGCGGAAAGCGGAGTGCCTGTTTGGTGGGAGGGAGAAAATGAAAAAAAATAAAAGATCTCTCCGTGGCTGCATCTTTAATAGAGATCGGAAAAACTAATTTTGTCCCGGGGAGCCATTTTAATAATAATAAAAGCAACAGCGGCCCTCATTTATTTATTTATTTATTTATTTGTTTTAAATCACAACCTCCTTAGCAACTCCATGCTGGGTTGTTTTTTTTTCTTTTTCTTTTCCTGCCTTTATAACAGTTGCAGTTCTCTGGCCTTAAGAATGTTTGAGGAAGTTGTTGTGTCATTGCTTCTTCTGACATTGTAAACTAATTAAAGTCTTCACTTTTTTCTTTCCATTCCTTGCTTTTCTCCTCCAGTCGTCTGAATTCAGGCAAGCTACAAGATTTGGGGGTCGGAGAAGGGAGCAAGCTGACTTTGGTACCCACGGTGGAAGCTGGCTTGATGGTAAGTTTTTTTTTCTTTCGCCCTTTTGCTGAGCCATGGTTTCAGGCCGGACGCTGTGAGCGTCTGGCCAAGGTCACTCTAGGGGCAGGAAATTCAGAAACCTAAACTTCCTCTCTTCTTTTCTTCCACAGTCTCAAGCATCTAGGCCCGAACAGTCGGTGATGCAAGCATTAGAAAGTTTAACTGAAACTCAGGTAAGATGCGACTCAGGTAGATACCGATAAATTGTCTGTTCTCTTTTTTTAAAGACTCTGTTTTGGGCCAATTCTTCCATCTTTAAGAGAAAGAGAGGTACAGAAGCCTCTGCAAAAAAAGATGGGGGATTATAGTAGATATATAGGACTGTCACTATGGGGACACTGCAAAGGGAATAGGATCCCCCCCCCAGGTTGGGGTTTCTTAATCTCAGCCATTTTAAAACATGTGGACTTCAACTCCCAGAATTCCAGTGGCTGAAGTTGAGCAACACGGCTGTAGAAGTTCGGACTGCAATTCCCAGGAGTCCCAAGTGGTTTGGCACCTCAGGCCACAAAGCAAAACATTGAAAGGACATCAGGATTGGTTCCTCGTAGTCTAAATTTGTCAGAAACAAAGCAAAACTATCTCTGTCAAGATTCTAGTCCATGGGAAGATTGGTGGGTTTAGCCCATTTCCCTTCTATCTAAGGGATTGCTCTTCTCTTGTATTTATTATTCAGTTCTGTTATACTTTTATTTATTATTATAATAGTAATAAAAAACCTATCCTCTACTTCATGCCCTAGTTGTATGCCAAGATTTCCTAGAATTCCCCAGGTAGCATGCTAAGAGAGGAATTCTGGGAGTTGTAGTAAGAAAGCAGGCCTATTGAGTTGGTTGTCTCATCAGTGCTAGTTGAGTGCTTAAGTTTTTGGCTGGTTGTTGTGCTCTCTATTTGGGGAGCCCAGGGTGCTCTAATTCTGTTTTGGTTCTCCTCTGCAGATCTGTAGACGGATTGACTTAAGCAACTTCCACTTGCTTTTAATGTCTATCGTTTTTTTGCTCATCCTTCCTGATCTTCAGTCATTAGACTCTGTTTAACCCGTTAAGTGTTCTTTTAAAAAAAAAAAACAACCTCCAAATCTGTCTGATTTTTAACTCCTCTAGATCTGTCTCCACTGATCAATTATACCAATGAATGAATAACTAACAGGTAGTCCTCGACTTACAACAGTTCATTTAATGACCATTCGAAGTGAAAACGTCACAGGGAAAAAGTGACTCATGGCTGTTTTTCACACTTACAACCATTACATCATCCCCATGGTCACGTGATCAAAATTCAGATCTTTGGCAACTGGCTCATACTTACGACGGTTGCAGTGTCCCTGGGGCCATGTGGATCGCCTTTTACAACCTCCTGGCAAGCAAAATCAACGGGGAAGCCAGATTCACTTAACAATCCGCATTACTAATTTCACAAGGGCAGCGATTCACTTAACAACCGTGGCAAGAAAGGTCGTACAATGGGGCAAAACCAGTGGTGGGATTTAGCCAGTTCACACCGCTTTGGGAGAACTGTTTGTTAACTTTCTGAGCAGTTAGATGAACTGGTTGTTGGAAGAAATCATTAGGGCAAAGAACCGGTTGTTAAATTATTTGAATCCCACCACTGGGCAAAACTCACCGGTAACCAATGTCTCACTTAGCAACAAATTTGGGGGCTCCGTTGTGGTCGTAAGTCAAGGACTACCTGTATTATGAGAAGGTTCATGGTGTGCTTGATCACAGATGCAAAGTTTGGTGAAGGCTGGTTGAGCTGAGGGTGTAGAAAGATTGACTTTGATTTTATGGGCCCTATTCTCTTAGGTTTCCCTCCTCTCCTCACCCTTTTTTTAAGGAAGTCTTTTAGAAAAGTTGTTTCTGGGAACAATAGGGTTTTCTCCAAGCAGATAATAGTATTTTTTAGCTATCTCCACCCTGGGAAGAGAGCTATAGGAATCAAGGTTTACTTCCGCATCCCCTACTCAAGGTGAACCCCCCTTAACATTTTTGCATAAGCTGTCTCACAATCCTTGCATTTTAATTGCATGTTTGCTCATTCCTTCCTCCCTATCTCTGAAGGATTTTGCATCCTTCACTTCTGTCCTTAGCCCTCCCCCACCCCCTTAGCAAAGCAGTCTTCCAATATCTCAGGGGCTGCTACAAAGAAGAGGGAGTCAAGCTATTCTCCAAAGCCCCTGAGGGCAGGAGAAGAAGCAATGGGTGGAAACTAATCAAGGAGAGAAGCAACTTAGAACTAAGGAGAAATTTCCTGACAATTAGAACAATTAATCAGTGGAACTACTTGCCTCCAGAAGTTGTGAATGCTCCAACACTGGAAGTTTTTAAGAAGATGTTGGATAACCATTTGTCTGAAGTGATGTAGGGTTTCCTGCTTAAGTATTCTTAACTAGTCTAGTCTAGTCTAGTCTATTCTTCTACTCTACTCTACTCTACTCTACTCTACTCTACCCTACCCTACCCCACCCCACCCCACCCCACCCCTATTCTATTCTATTCTTATTCTTATTCTTATTATTCTATTCTACTCTACTCTACTCTACTCTACTCTACTCTACTCTACTCTACTCTACTCTACTCTACTCTACTCTACTCTACTCTAAACACACCAGAAAAGGCTTCTTCCCTTCCAACTTTTCCTTCACTTAATTCTGCCCCTTCCCTTGTTGCATGTGACTCTTCTAATTTTTTTTTTAACCCAACCTAACACCCCTTCCTGTTCTTTTGCAATTTAAAACAAAAACATCGAGTTGCAAGGGATGTCAAGGGATTGCAGAGTTCCCTTGAAGGGGGGAGGGCGGGGGGGGGGAGGCATGATGAGGGTTGCATCCAGTTGACAGACAAGAAGAGAGGGAGGGTAGAAGGAGGGCTCCGGAAGTCAGTCAAGTTTACTGTGTTTAAAATGCAGAAAAGGAAGGATTGGATGGAACAGGGAGGCCTTTTGGAGGAAATAGATAATGGGGCTGGGGGCGGGAAGGATACTAAAGAGGGGTGAAGAGTTGCTAGCTGGCCTTGTGTTTGTGACAGCTCTGGCTCTGATTAAATTGCCTTTGTTATCTGCACATTCCTTCCTCTTTGCACACACACACACACACACACACCCTGGCATATTTTCAGGAGCGAGAATGGGGCCATGAGACTAAGATGGTCTTGCTTGGAGAAGAAAGGGCAATTTATGGCAGCGGGGTTTTTGATGTGGCTTTCGCAGCGGGGTTGGACTAGAAGACCTCCCAGGTCCCTTCCAGGCCCTATGAGTCTATGAATCCTCAATACTATAAAAAGCAGGAAGTTTTTAAGTTACCATTCTGAAAGGCAGGAGTGATGAGGAGAGATAAGCTTTGCTGGCTGGGGAATTCTGGGAGTTGAAGTCCTCCAGGCTTAAAGTTGCCAAGGCTGGAGGCCCCTGCAGTATAGGAAGCCCATATGTGGTAAATTTGGATACTTTTGCTCTTAATTATTAATTTTGAGGGCGATGAGGTGATGTCCTTTTAACTTGGGCCTGTCACATGTGATGCTTTCTGGATGTGGGGGGGTCCCCTCGGCCCTCTGATGGGCTCCAGATTGAGGAAGGCCGAGCAGGGCCTCTCGTAAAATGCTTTATTTTATTATTTTTTTAAATTGCCCCCTCCCCCAACCCATGGCTGATACTTTAAAGCAGGGGAGTCTTCCAAACTTGGCAACTTTTAAGACTTATGGACTTCAACTCCCAGAATTCCTCAGCCCTCCACCAAGAGATGGATAAGAAGAAAAGCCAATTCAATTTAAGAAACAACCAGTAGCTCCTGCTGATATTCCTGGTTGTATTACAAATCCCATTGTTTCTTCTGGCTGTGGATGCTGGGACGTGGGGGGGGGGTTATCATCTGACACCGGAGGGCATTCCTGGTTATGAAATGAAGCCGGGCGCCTCATTGCTGCCAAGGAGATTATCAAGCCCAGCTCACTCTGTGTTTACAATGCCACCACCCACAGCTGGGAAAAAAGCCAGGGTTAACTTAGGCCAGGCATGGTTGAATGCCACCGGGGGAAAAAAAAAATTGGAGTCTAATCTGAATTTATCTCTCTTGGTTTTGGAAGCCGGACTTTGCTTTCTGATTCCATGAAACTTTGCTCCGGATTTTCTTCCTCTTTGACTAGATCCCATCCCCCTCGGTCCCTTTGGAGCAGTGTTTCCCCATCTCAGTAACTTTATAAATGTCTGGACTTTAACTCCCAGAATTCCCCAGCCGGCTGTTAAAAGAGAGAATCCAGCTTCCCTATTGGTTGTGCTTGTTGGAAGCCCAGCTGGGAAGGTCACATAAATGGCGATGGGGTGACCTCTGGACACTGCAACCATTATAAATAACATGCCGGTTGCCAACCTCCCAGGTTTTAATTGCGTGACTGTTGGGACATTGCAATGGTGTGATGACTGATCATAAATCACCGTTTTTTCCAGTTCCGTCATAATTTCAAATGGTTGTTGAACAGATGGTCATAAGTTGAGGACTACCTATATGTTGGCGGGGAGGGGGGGGGAAGGAAAGCATGAAAGGCCTATAAGTATGTGTATCCAAAGTAAGATAAACATTTTAGTTTGTCACACCTAAGAGGAACAAGACCTGTTCTGTTTTGGTTATAGGACAGGAGTCTGATCAATAGGAAAGTGGTTTTTTAAAATATTTTTACATTAGTAAAGACTTCCCAATGTTTTTTGATATGGTATGGCCTGTCTCTGAAGGGAGTTGTCTTTCCTTTCCTGAAAAGGCTTGAGTTGTTCTTTGACATTCATTCCCCCTTTGGGCAGGGGGTCAGACTAGATGACCTCAAGGATTTATTTTCCAGTTCGATGATTATTATCATTTGTGCTTTGTTTTTGTTTGTTTTTTTCTTTTCTCTTCTAAAACTCTGCTCTTGCAGCCTAAATCCTTCTCAGATGGGCCTTTTAAAAAGATCTCTAGCACCCCACCCGTTCTGCATGAAAATCTTGGGAATTACACCTACAGGTTTGAGATTAGGATGGATTTGTTGAAGCTGAGAGCTGTCAATCTCTAGGAGAGAGGTGGTCTCTTGATATGTGCTTGCATATCCCTCTTTCCTGGAGGTGTTCAAAACCCAGGCTGGATAACCTGAGGTCCATAGTGTTTTATAGATGCTGCGCCGAGCAAGAGGGTAGTCTAGATACCTTTGGAGGT